CACCAATTTTATTCTGTTTAGCAAACTCTTTTAAGGTAATATTTTTAGAAGTAGGATCTCCTTTTTGTGCTAAAAAATTTAATGCTAATTGTCTTGATCGCATATTATTTAAATTCTTAATTGATGGAATACTAGACTCTGTTAACGTATAAAATAATATCTTTCTAATAAATTGGGAATAAAGATTGTCAGATTGATCATGAACAAACATCTCCATGACATGAGTCGTTATTATAAGAAAATGTTCCATTTGTCAAACCATAAAATCTCATTTAAATTTTGTTAAAAGTAAAAATCAGAAATATGGAACGGATACATGTGTTATGACTGTAAAAAAAGACGAAATGATAAATTTACTTGTAATATATGTTTTATGCATGTTCACGATATAAAAAAAGACATTTCAAAAAAATATGGCATGAAAAATTAGAAAAATATATTAACGACTTAAAAGTATAATCTCATCCATAAATGTTTTTGAATATTTTTTTTTCCTAATAAATGGGGCTCTCGAAAGATCAGCTTCGTAAAATGACCCTTGAGGAAATTATAAAACTTACTAAAAGTGATTTAAAAAAAGTGGGCGACATAATTAAACAAATTAATGAAGGCAATTGGTGTTCGAGTTCAGCTAAGAGTTCGTCTTTGACACATGAGTCGTCCTCGATGAATAAATATTTTTTAACACCACAGTCAAATAATGAGATTGTACTAAATAAACTAAATTAAAAAAAATTAAAAACCATTGCAAAAAGACTGGTTTAATAAATTAAGTAGACTCAATATTAAAAAATTAAAATCGATTGCTGAAAAACTAGTTATAAAAATAAAGCAAAATAGTAAAAAAACAGATCTAGTGAATCAAATTTCAGATAATGTAAACAATGAAAATTCGGGCGATGCCCTCATGAGAAAAGCGAATTTAAATACTGTTCTTAAAGAAATCGGTCGCAAAGTTTAGAGGAATTATTAGAGGAAACCATGTCAAAAAACAAATCGACTCAGAATACAACGATAAAAGAATTAAGAAAAATTGCTAAAGAAAAGAATATCAAAAGTTACTCTAAAATGAAGAAGGCAGAATTATTACAAAAAATTAACGACCAACCGTTCGATTTCGAAGATAGCTATTTTACAGAGTTTTCAAAAAAATCTAAAATTAAAATAATAGAAGAAGAAACAAAAGCTGAATACAGTAAAAATGGGGGAGACACAAAGTTTACTATAAAGTTATATTAGTGGAAGACGAAGAAACATCCGAGTCTGATCTTTCAGACATAATTACGAAAAAAATTACTGTCATTAGAGAGGGATTAAATGAAATGATTAAAATAGTAAAACAGAAAACAAATTTCAAAGAAGCAGATTTAATGAATATAGTGATTAATCATTCTGATCTTTGGAATCCTATTTCCACAAGGTTATCAAGAACTTCTGATATTGACAATTTATTAAAAAAATTCAAAGTATCTTAACTTCAAATCAAGATTTAGAAATATACGGTTGTACATTTTATGCTGAAGTAGTTAATATGCCTAGAGGTGGTAGGTACTAATGCGAAAAGATTATTAAATATAGCAGAAGACTCACGAACAAAGAAAAGTATAATACAAATAAAAAACAAAGATAATTTATGTTGTCCAAGAGCTGTTATTGTTGGATTAACTTATCATACAAATATTATACTTGGTCAAGAGTATGATCGTAATGATATAAGATATATTAGAATGGGAAGAAATTTACAAATGACTTTAGCTCAAGAGCTGTGTAATCAACTTGGAGAATATAATAAAAACTATTTTACTTTAGACGATATTAAAAACTTAGAAAAAGTATTAAATATTCAAATAAAAGTCGTAGCAGCAGAATGCTTTAATTCCATAATATATTCGGGGGCTGATAAAGACGTAAAAGTTTATTTATATAAAAATGGAAATCATTTTGACACTATCAGTAGTATGACAGCTTTCCACGGTGAGTCTTATTATTGTGAAAAATGTGATAAACCATATCAAAATAAAGACGGACATAAATGGAAAACGAAGGATAAAATATGCGTAATGTGTTTCAAGTCTAATCACAAAGAAGACTCTTCAAAAAGAATATATTGTGAAAAATGTAATAGATATTGTTTTAATCAAAAATGTTTAGACAATCATTCAGAAGTTTGTGAAAGATTTCATAAATGCTTAAAGTGTAATAAAATACTCAAAAGAGGTGATAAAATGGTTGACGAAGGTACAAAAATGATTGAAGAAGGAAATAAAATAATTGAAGAAGGAAATAACAAGAAGGGTGATCAAATGATAGAAGAGGGTAGTGAAGAACACAGATGTGGATGGAAAAAATGTCGAAATTGTTATAAAGAAGTTGAAATATTAAAACATAAATGTTATATGCAATGGAAACGACAAAAAGGTGGAATCTGTCAAACAACAATAAAAGACGGTGATAAGTAAAAGGTTGTAAAAATTGTGATAGAAAAGGTTGTACAACAATGTTTCCTGATAAAACAAACATGAGAGTAAAATATCACATATATCAATGTAAAGATTGTAAAAATTGTGTTAAAATACCAAGAAAGAACGAAGACGGCTTTCAGTGTCCTAAATGCGGGTGTTTATTTGATACAACTAAATGCTCTTATACAGAAAAATATTTATTCTTTGATTATGAAGCGATGCAAGAAACAGGCAAACACATCGATAATTTAGTTATATCTCACGATTTTAGCGGAAATGTTAATTCTTTTAAGACTAACGAAGATTTCTGTAAATGGTTAATTTCTAGAGATCATCGAGGACACACAGCTATTGCACATTATTCTAAAGSTTATGATTCTTACTTTATTCTAAAATATTGCGTTGAAAACGGTATTAAACCTTTCTGCGTATATAATGGATCTAAAATAATGTTAATGGAAATAAAAATCAATTAATTTAAGAATTATTGATAGTAGTAATTTTGTTCAAGGACCTTTAAAAAACTTCCCTAAAACATTCGGTCTAAAAGAACTTAAAAAAGGATATTTTCCACATTTCTTCAATACAACAGAAAATCAGAACTATATTGGAAAAATACCTGACAAAATACTATGGTGTTAATTCTATGAAACCAAAAGAAAGGGAAGAGTTTTTAGAATGGCATAAACAAAAAAGAAAAGAAAATTATTTGTTTGATTTTAAAAAAGAACTTTATGATTATTGTAATTCGGATGTTGATATATTAAGAAGAGGATGTCTTGAATTAAGAAATCAGTTTCTAGAAATTGCGAATATAGATCCTTTTAAATATATTACTATTGCAGGTGTTTGCTTGGCTATATATAGATCAAAATATATTAAGAAAGATACAATAGCTGTTGTTGATAATCCGAAAAAAGATCAATATTCTCAACAATCAATTTCATGGTTAAATAGTTTTCATAATTCAAATATAAAACACGCATTAAACAATGGTGAAGTGAAAATATGTGGATCAAAAGTTGAAGGATTTGATAAAAAATCCAATACTATTTACCAATATCACGGGTGTTTTTGGCATGGTTGTACTAAATGTTATAGTTCAGATTTTATTAATATAAGAATAAAACAACTATGGAAGATCTTTATGAGAAAACAATAGAAAGAAGCGAGGAATTAAAAAAAGCTGGTTATAACTTAATAGAAATGTGGGAAAGTGAGTGGACGAAGTCAAAAGAATATAAGAAAGAAATGAAACAAACTGAAGAAGAAATTAAGGAATTGGAAGAACTTAATCCTAGAAACGCATTCTTTGGAGGAAGAACGAATGCAACAAAATTGCGCGTTAAGGGGAAGAAAATGAAATATATAGATATTTGCAGTTTATATCCATCAGTACAATGTTACGATGATTATCCAATTGGACATCCTACTAAAATATTCAAACCTCGTCCGTATAACTCAGATTGGTATGGTTTAATAAAATGTGCAATTTTACCACCAAAAGGTTTGTATCACCCCGTTTTACCTGTTAAGAATAAAACCAAATCAGGTGATGAAAAACTAACATTTCCATTATGTCAATTGTGCGCAAAATTAAATAATCAAAAAGATAAATGTTCTCATACGGAATCTCAAAGAATTATCAGAGGAACCTGGTGTACCAACGAAGTAAAAAAAAACAATTGAAAAGGCTTACAAAATAATAACTATTGATGAGGTTTGGCATTTTTACGAAAAATCATCAAATTTATTTAAAGGATATGTGAAAGCGTTTATGAAAATTAAATTAGAAACAAGCCCTTGGCAGGATGATTTTGAATCAGAAGAAGAATATAGAAAAGCTGTAAAAGAAAATCTAGGCATTGAATTGGGTAAAATAGAAAATAACCCTGGAAAGAGGGCTGTTGCGAAAATATGCTTAAATTCCTTATGGGGTAAATTTGGGCAAAGACAAAATATGGGTGCAACAGAATATGTTACAAATGTTAAAAGGTTTTATGAAATTTTATTAGACGAGAAACTTGATAATATACGTATAAACGATATAAATGAAAATATGTTACAAATTGATTATAAGTTAAAAGATTGCTATATATAAAATGATTTCAATACCAATAGCTGCTTTTACAACTGCAAACGCAAGACTAAGATTATACGAAATGTTAAATAAATTAGGACAAAGCGTAGCATATTATGATATACAGATAGTACTGTATATACATATAGATGATGGAAAAAACACTGTTAAAACAGGCTGTCTATTGGGAGATTGGACAGACGAATTAGGTAAAGCCGTATGGATATCAACAGGCCCAAAAAGTTATTGTTATAAGACTAATACAGGTAAAGTTGTTTGTAGAATAATAGAAAATTTCAGTGTTTACCCAACCATTATCACTAACAAAATCAACTGTTCCAGGAGGTGTTCCGGCTAAGTATCGTGGATTTCTTTTTTTTCTAGGAAAAATAAGTGCTGGTGGAATAAATTTTCCTGAAGCAGAACAACAGCAAAATGCCGTCACTAACTGTCCTCTTTCAGAAGAAGAAATTGCTCCCACTTGTGTTTTCCCTTTTGACGAAATAACTTTTGGCGGTTTCTTTGCGGAAGTCTGAATTCCAGTTTCGTCAACATTATAAATATTATCCACCTCGATCTTATATTTTTCGCGGATCGTTTTCAAATTGTTGAAGAACAATTGCACTTGTGGTTTATTAAAACCACATGCACGAGCAATACTTGTGGGTTCCGGAGTCCTGAGACTTAATTCTGGATGTCTTTTCATAAAGTTATAATACCATTGTTCTCCAGCTTTTTCGTTTTGGAAATTGTGAGGGATATTATTTTAGGTGACATAAGTCTTCCTTGGTCAGACCATAAAAACGGGCATCCAAATCCTGAATGTGTTTTACTAAATTGTGCTCCATTTCATCAGAAAAGACGGGCTTAAAATGTTTTTTAGAAGACTGTGTTAAAAAATGTCGTCGTAAAGTGGGATATGGAATTTGATATCGTTTTGATGTTCCACGAATTGTATTTTCTCTATTTGTAATGCTTGCCAAAGCTCGAGCCATCGCATGTTCTGGCCATCCTTCAGCTCTATTGGACTTACGTTTGTATTTGAAAACCATTTTACCTTTTGAAATTAAAACACAAATTAAGATTTAATCACAATTAAACATGCCAAATTATTATTTAGTATTTAATTGGCATAAGTCGGGAAAAACGAACCGATTTTCGGTCATAGAGGACCTGGTTCTTTATGCCCGGTTCTTCTTGCCCAACATGCATGGGTATACATTCAAGTGGATTAAAAAAGATGGATTCATAAACAACGCCAAACTATTTAAAGGTTAGGTCTAGAAATCAGGTCTTCTATCACAAGAATTAGTTCAAATATTGCACCGATATTTGTTATGAAAATGAATTCGGTTTGACTGAGGTAAAATTAAGTATTCAGTAAGAGCATTATTTAGTTTTATTCAATAAAATTTGAAAAAATCAACTTACCTCTGCAAGTTTGACAACAAACGTTGTAGAATTGGAGTGGCTACCGCACACACTGCACAAAATTGAAGCGCTAAATTTAAATTTGAAATTATTTTGCCGGTTCTTTTTGCCCACATGGTTCATCTTGCCCGAGTCTCCCCTACTAGAGATTCTAAAACTAAAGAACTTTTAAATAAAATAGAAACAAAAGAATTTGGTTTTGTTTATGACTAGAGTTATTTTAGAAAACTTTGATACAATAGCATTTGGATATTAATGTGATATTAATCCTTTTCGTTGTTAACTAAGCTAATCTGTGGTGCAGCGCTGTGGTGCAGTCAGTTGACGGTTGACACATGTAAACAAACGTAAATGTGTTCTAAATTTTTACATTTTTAAAAGGTCCTAACGTTCTTTATTTTTTTATCAACAATTAATAGCTTTCTATAACTAGAGCAACATGGAGTATTATTATCGGTAAGTAATATTGAAATATGTTGCACGATATGATTTTAAATTTCATTTAGTGAGGTTAGGTCGATTATCGCAAGTGATTATTTTTTGCTTGTATAAGTTGCATTTTTTTATTATATCTTTTTAGTGATTTCAAGCCATCAGCTGCATTAACAGAACTTCGTATTATTCAAAGAAGAAGAAGAATACAGAAAATGGTTGACACAGGTACCATTGGGGATGGTGAAATAACTATGGTTGATGGAAATCCATTGAAAATGAAAACATATAAGGGAAATGTAACTGTTGTGAGAATTCAAGATCAATTTCAAATTGAAGTAGGTTCTTGTGGCAAGAGACAACTGATTATTCCATGTGAGGAAATAATAAGTCGTAGCGTACAGAAGGAGACTGTTATTTTACAGTTTAAAGTGGATTATTTCTGGGAAAAAGGTATTTGTAAGTTTCATGTTAATGCACAGGCTGATGTCTTCAATTCCAAATTACCATCTATTAACAAACCCATATCCACAGACTACAATGCGACTAATAGGTAAGAAAGTTAAACAGTAGTTTAAACTCAGTTATTTCTAACATCTTAAATGCAGTTCTGACACAGACTTTGATGATTCTGGTAATGAGAAATCTGAAGGATTCAAGAATAACTCATTTAAGTCGGATACTCCATCAGTTGAAATACAAGAGTTATAAAATTTGTTATAAAATTAGTCATTTAACCCATTTTGTAAACACAGTTATTTGCATAAATTTTCATTCAAAATCGTTGTCTACATGAGTTTTGTATAGAATGCCTACTGTGTGTGTTCTGTGTTCTGAGGGAGACCTTATAAATTTTGCACTTTTTGAGTTTCCTTGAAAATCAGGTTGTTTTTTCTTAAAAATGTTAATTTTAAAATACACCTTTAAAACGAGGGTGTTTTCACGATTTTTTCTGCTTTTCAGTTTACCCTTGAAAATCGGGGGTGTTTTTCTTAAAAATGTTAATTTTTAAATATAGCTTAAAATCGTGGGTGTTTTCACGATTTTTTCTGCTTTTCTGTTTACCCTTGAAAATCGGGGTGTTTTTCCATAAAAATGGTAGTTGAAGGGGCCTTCTTACTACTGATTTTGTATCAATTTTAGAGTGATTTTGAGCTTATTTTCCCATATTTTCAACCATTTTGGTGGTCTATACATCTCGAAATATTTTTAGGGCGCATAAATTTAGAGTTTGGTCTATTTTTTTACATGCGTCAATTTAGTTTTGTATATTTTTTACCCGTTTTCTGACTATCAAACCAATATTTTGCACTTTACCAAGTTTTTTTTGTAGGAATATGATTCGGGAAAACTTCAGTATCTGTCCTCGTGTCCCTCACATTACGAGTAAAATGGCTGAATTAAATGTTTTTTGTCTATGTTGTTTCAGTTTATTTATTTTTTGTAATTTTGCAGTTAAATTTTTTTGTTTGTTTGTTTGCAATTTTTGTAGGAATTTTCTTCTGGAGAGTTTTTGTAGGAAATAATATGAAAGCACTTACGAAAATAAAAATTTTATTTTTGTGTACTAATGAAATAAACAGTTTTTCGATAATTTCCGAATTAATTTTCCCAAGCCCCGATTCTCGTTTCTCGCGTCACGATCACAGAGGCCGTCGTCTTTTTCACCTTGGAGCGATTGTTTGGCGTGCCAAGATCCAGATAATCCTCGAAACATGCAACAAACACGACAAAAACCCCCAGATTTAGGACATCAAACGCCGACATTGCATCTAACCTCCGATAAAGTCCACTGCATCATTTGCATTTCATTGTTTTATGCACTTTTACCAGATGGTTAATGCACTCGCTAATTATGCATTTACCGCATTTCCGGTTTTATTTTGCGCAACTTATTGCCGACCCCGAATGAATTATTATCTCGTTGTTCTCAGAAAAATAAAATTGTTGTTTGCATTGCTCTTGTTATAAAGTCACTGAACCGCTATCACGAAAATAAGACGCACACACTTAACAGGTTTTATATTATTTATTACGACAGGAACAGCTCAAGGCGGGACAAGGGAAACATCCGTTATTTATTACTTCTTGTTCTCCTTTCTTGATATTTACCCATTTCTTCAATGTAAATGTTCTGTTGAACGTAATTTCGGACGGATTGGAGCGACTCCTGCCACTGGTAAAACCACTCGTCGAAATTCTCAACCGACTCAAAACTCAAACCATTCTGCCATAAAACACCACTACAATCCTCAAAACATTGCTCGAAATGTTTGCTACGCGAATTTGGGGCTTCTTGAACCACTGGAACCCACTCGAGAGTCACATCATCTGCTTGCACATTTTCTACTGGTTCTTCTTCCATTTCGTAATCTTCCTCTTCCTCACATTCTTCTTCCTCCTCCTCAAACTCATTTTTAATGTCAGCAACAGTGAATTCCTCCTCGCGACAAACATCTTGGAACTTTTGAACCTCCTCCAAAGGCAAATAATCCGACCAAGTTTTGTCTCCACTACCAATAGCACATTCATACCCGATCTTAAATATTTCCTCCATAAAATCTTCCACTTTGGGAGTAATAATCGGAATTTCGTTAACATCATCTTCCTTCAAGATCTTGAGATAATTATCAAGTGATTCTGTTATATCCCCATCTATTTTGGTCCCGGGATCTAGTAAAATTTTAGTCAAGTTCAAGAGAGCTTTATTTTTACAAAAAGTCTCTTGTTTGACATCATTTTTACGCTTCTCTTTCTGCAAGTCTGGACTAACTTCCACATTAATTCTCTTCCGTTTTTTCCCCTCATCATCATCTTTATTTCTATTATCACCAGAATTATCCAAATTCTCAATTATCTCCCGTTTTTTGCATTGTTTCAACTCCAAAACCTCCTTTTTCAGAGTGTTAACTTCATTGATATCGTCAGGCACGACCCCCCAAATTTGTTCCAAACTACTCAACTCGACTTGCCACAAATCAACCCCATTTAATGGTGGTAATTTCGCAATTGATAAGTTGGTGGCCCCAATGGCCCCCAAAATACTTTGCAATTTGCTCACTTCCTGTCCTGAGACAAAGTTGATGCAAATTCCGGATGAGCCGTAGCGCCCAGCGCGCCCCATCCGGTGTAAATAAGTCACAGCGTCGCAAGGCAGGTCGTAGTTGATCACAAGATCGACATTGGGGGCGTCGATGCCCCTCGAAGTCAAATCAGTTGAGAGCAAAATCCGGTTTTTGAATTTTTTCAAATTGTCGATCGCTTCTAATCGCTGGGTTTGTTTCTGGGCCGCGGAGATGAACACCGAATCCCAGCCTTTCTGGTTGAGGTAATTCGAGACAGTCTCAGTTCGTGATTGGTAATTAGTGAAAATTAGACATTGAGTGAATGAGACTTTTGCAAGTATATTAATCAAGAGGTCGTTTTTGTGTTTCATTTGTTGGACAGCGTTAAGGCCGGGGGTTAACACAGCGGCGAATTGTTTCAGGCCTAGTAGAAGTGGAGTCTCATTTTCGGAAGTCACGTGAGTCGGTGAGAGCATGTAATTGGCTAAGAAAGTGTCCAGTTCTTGGGGGTACGTGGCGCTCGAAACGATCATTTGTTTACGTGGGGGCAAACTGGTGTAAATGTCGTTAATATCAGACTGGAAGCTTGTCTCCATTAATTTGTCGGCTTCGTCTAGGATAAAAAGTTTGACGAGGTTTGTGTTTAAAGCCCCCACTTTTAGCAAATGTTTGACTCGGCCGGGGGCCCCCACCGCGATATGGCACTTGGAGGATTTCTTAACGTCGTCTTCTAGAGGTCTACCACCAATAAAACTCTCGATAAGGAGACCTAAAACTCGCCTATTATGTAAATTTATTAAACAAATAAAATAAAAACCATTAATGTGACACCCAACGTTGCGCAACACGTCTTCAATTTGTACAGCTATTTCCCGTGTCGGGACTAAAATTAAGACTTGTAAGTGGTCTTTGGCCGGATTAACAGTCTCTAAAGCGATAATTGAAAAAACTAAGGTTTTGCCGGTCCCCGACTTGGATTTCACAATTAAATCTACAAAATTTCTATTTATTTTAGTCTTGATAAGAATGAGAAGTCCTACCAAAACCACATCGTCCTAAAGGAATTGCTTTGAACTGAATTGGAGAGGGTTTCTTAAAACCACTCGCCGACAGCCCCTTTTTTATGTCATCGGGAAGTAACAGTGATGCAAAATCGATGTTTTCGTCTAGAATTACGTCTTTCGTCCTCTCTTTTGCGTCTAAATCGTGAGCAATATTTGGCTGCATTCTGGAATTAAACTAAAATCGACTCAACTGATTTTATAACCTCAAAAAACAAATTTGACGTTTGTTGACGTTAATGCTACAGAAAACTGTAAACTCGCTGAAATATATAAAAATTTTATTTCAAAAATGCCAACTTGCATTTGCCTCTACTACTATTAACAATCGTGAGATTTTTAATTACTAAAATCACTTAATTAAAAGAAAAACTGTAAAATATGTGGTTGATTTCTGTAATACCGACACAGTGACAGAAATAGGGGCGCAAATTTTCAAGTGGAGTTAAGCATTTGGGGAAAGGAATAAAGTTTCCCTGCGGAAGAGTCGATATTAAGTAACATTTTATTGTTCTGATATTCAGGTTATAACAAAAGGCAACAAAACAATAAGAAAGTACTATAATAGTCTTAAATTTAAATGAATTTTGTAAACAGAACGAGCGTAAAAAGAACAATACCTCACTAAACCGAGAGCATTATTGTTGCAGAAAACCTACGAAAAAATCGAATTCAATATCTTACATATAGTCGAATTTTCTTTAATAAATAAACCCATAAAACCGCAAGCACATGTTTGACAGTAACAGTTTATTAATAATAAAAAAATCTCATGTTAGTTTCGAGCGTCGTAACTGTTGGAGGTAATTACGTTGCACCGGTTTATGCAACGCCAGCTGTTCTAAAGCCTCTTCTATCGTGAACCACTGTCGTTTCCTTCCTATGGTCTTCGAGTCTTCCCATTCGTCTAATTCTTCAGTTACTGTCATGACATACACTTCAGTCCTGTCTTTATGTTCTAAATTCTGTAAAAATTATTCAATTATTCAAATTCGTTTTATTAAAAGTGTATTTATTTACTTCAAAAACTCCCAAGCTACGTCCCAGCTTGCCGATGACCCCCGCTTCCTCGAGGACTTCTCTGGTGGCGGTTACGCTCGGCTCTTCCTCCGGCTCGACGCCGCCCCCGGGAACGATCCATTTTTCTGGTCTGCGAGAAGACGTCACCAACAGGACCTTCAAACGACAAATTAATTAGATAATGACATCGGTATCGGGTTTCGTAGGTGCGAAAACACGACCTTCAAATTTTTATCAATACAAGAACACTGTTAGAAACATTCGTCATGATTAACCGTATTAATAAAAATTGAAAACAAACCCGATGTTGCGATAAATTCGTTGAACCCGGTTAAAAATCATCCGATTAATTACTCAACTCGCACTGCGAACTTTGAACACCCTCTCATTCAAAAATTTTAATAAAAATCGCTTGTAATACTCTATCATTATTTTTTTATTATGTAAGAGATCCAATTAATGTCGTATTTATTTCATTTAATTACAAACAAATCGTCACGTAACATTTCTATTTATGCTAATTGCTAACATTTAACATTTGCGATATTTCTAAAAATAAAAAAACAAAAGCTTCACAAGGTCATTGGTCATTACCAGGTTACACTTGGCAAATTTTTGAAATTGTTACCTAACGAAGAGTTTGAAAAATAGTGAATTATGGCCGGCGAAACGGGAGTAAAAATAAATTTTGAAATATTTGGTTATGAAGCGATTTCTATTACGTACAAAAAAAAAATTCAGAAAAGTTCTTGTGCAAGGACTTTTTCTACTAATGTTGTTATAAGCACACAAAAAACTAAAATATTTGACAGAAATGAGTTTGCAAGACTACAAATTTATTAAATATAGAGAAAAACTCTATAAAAAAATATACCTAGAAATTCTAATTTTTTCTAAAATACTGACCGAAAAAGTCAACGTAATAAAAATTATAAACAAAAATCAAAAATGTGTATTATTTTTAATGGCTCATAATTGTAAGAAAAATTAAAAAAAAAATTGTAAAAAATCATCCAAAGCAGTTTAAATATTTTTATATTTATATTTATGTAAAAAGTATCAACGAAATATGTGATATTTCACCTTGATTATTCACATAGTTTAAAATCGATAAACTTTTTCGTTTTTATTGAAGAACTAAAAGTTTATTACCTGTTAAGCAAGCTCTATGAACGTGACATTTCCCGATTAAAATGTAAAAATTGTTAAAACTGTATTTATTTTTCCACATTTTAGAATAAAAGTATAATTGAAGTTAAATCCTTAAAATAACTGAAAAACATAAAAATTAAGGGCCAGTTTCATAATCATAAAAATGTTTAAAAAAGTTTATCATAAAAATATCGAAGTTACGAGAGTTTAAATTTTGCACTTGGACTCTTATTTATTTCTGTTGAAAAAATAATTTTCCATATTTTCCAAGTACAGGCTTTTAAAAGAGGAAACAAGGAAGTTGTATCTTAAGTTGTAGCTCTGTTTAGTATTATTTGTGGCTTTTATTGGCAAAATTTTTGTGCCTTTACTAAATAATTATAAAAAAGCATATACAAGATCATCAGTATAATTAAATTGACATAAAAAATGTCAAACAATAAATGTGCGCGATTTTCCGGACATCCTGTATTTTTCAATTTTACACACTAGTAGAATTTTTTTAAGTTGCTTTTCGTGTCTTATTTTTTTCCATCTACATTGTTGTTTTATTGAAATTAAAAGTAGTTTTTGCCTATTCTTGAGATGGTAGATGGTAATTTTATCAAAAAATTTAATTCCTGTAGCAATAGGCCTTAAACACATATTTTATGTATTCCTTCAAAAGTTTTATTCTTATCCCTCCTATACATCCCATAATTAGCAAAAATCGTAAAAAAGAGCAATTTCCATAAAGATATTTGGTTTGCTTCTCATAAAATCTGTTTGAAAATGCTATGGATGATGATAATTTTTGTTCATTTTTAAATATTCAGAAGGAAACTACTGAAAAACTACAATTTATTATTCCAAATGTTCTTTTGTAATATTTTATGACAAATAAAATGGTAATTTGAGAAAACAAAACCAGTAAAAATTTGACACAAAATTTTAATTTTTATTGAAGAACTCTAATTAATTTATTGTTTAGAAAGCTGTGTGGACGTTATATTTCCAATTTAAAATGCAATAAATCGTTAAAATTGTGTTTATTTTTCCACAGTTTAGAATACAAACAAAGTTTTGAATTAGCTGTATTGAAATCTTTGAATATTAAAAAAAAATCAAAATATATTCGTAATAATTTCGATTACGTGATGATTTTTTAACTTCTTGTTTTTTTATGGATCTTACGCACAAGATATGAAAATACACCCACACGACAAAAACCACACTAATGTAATTTTTTTTCTGAAAAGCTAAAATTCTATTCTTGTCTTGCACAAATCTGGTAAAAAGATTTCGTCAGTAAATGGAATTTTATTATTTATTAAATATCAGTAAAACGGAAGAGGTGTTAAAAAACTAGTCATTTTTCTTCGAATTTATTAACACTTTGATACTGTATCTATTATGCGACATGAAACCTGAAACTTTCTACCTAAACCACGGTCAAGCAGTGCAACATTAGCATTTCATTCATTTTCCTGGAACGTGTTTCAGGGGTTGTAAATCAGCAAAGAGCTTTGTAGACGCGCCTAAATAGTTGTAAATTGCAAATTCTCGTCCCCTGCAACCAATTAACATTCTCATCTGGTCGTAAATTGTTTTTCTTCGTCGAGATTGCCTTCAGGCAAGCAAATAAATAGATGGCTTAGCGTCACACAAGGTGTGACAATAGGGATCTTAATGAGTTAATTGTTTGCGTGATAGGTTGGATAATCGCGATAAGCTTGTTTATAGATAAGTTCAAATTGCAATTTGGCGCCATAAAATGGGCATTTCGCTGGCACCGTAAACATTGGTCTGGCCTTTGCCAAAATAAATTTTCCGATTCGAAATGATACTCACTTCAGTCTCGGCATCGGAGCGGACGCAAATGCAAGCCGCACGTCGCCGGAAGCCTTCTTCGTCGTAAATACGGATGGAATTTGGTTTTTCTTTGACCATTATGGGTTTCACGGACGAACCGAACTAAATAGTAAATTAACGCGAAATACTAATTAAAACGAATTAACTTATTGGTTTAACACTCTACTGGACAGCCATAGCCGCTAGAAATGAAATTATCACACTTTTTTTCTACACCACATTATATCCATCATAATAATTAACCTGAGCCGAACATTTATACACGAGATTTTTACAAACTAACACACTCGGTTTAAAACACGTGCTTTTAGCTTAAAGTTAGCTAAAGGGCGATTGATTATAACCCATGATGGAGGCTTAACTGGCCCATTTAACCCGCGGCTGACCCTTTGCAGCTTCGGAAAAAGTCACGATTGACGGACGATTTTTCCCCAACTGTCACAATACAATGCTACCAACCTAAACCAAAAAGACACTTTTCTGACCCTTTCCCGCACCCAACCAACCACAAACCGACCTAAAACACCTACAATTCGCAATGTGCGCCCCGAAAAACCCCAAAAAATAATTATTTGGGCCAAAAAACCCACAATTACGACCGACACAAGCGTCCCCTGTCGGCGACTATTACGCAACTAACCTATCAACAAAAACGTCAAAACTGTAAAAATGACCGCAAAAAATCTAAAATAATCGAGCCCCCATGGATGGTGTGGTTGGTTTGGGCCACTTTTGTGAGAGTCACGGCCCGTGTGTTATTCTAGCGACTCAAAGGTGTCAAGAGGAGCCCCGACAGTACCCCCATAGTCTCACAGTGCCCTGGTGTGAGTCTTGCCAGTCAATTGACTTGGACCAGTCTTTGGTCAGTAAGGACGAAGGGGTTTGTTATGTGACCACGCGGACGCCCCTGCAACAGGATGTGGCCTTTTTGTTGAAACAAGCGGCCGTGAGGAGTCTCAGCTGTGAGGAGACGAAGGAAGGGGGCACCATGTACTTTGGGGATAGCGAAAGGGGGCACGTTTTGAGTCACACGTTTGCGTTGCAGGATTCACTAGCCAGGGGGTTTCACCGGAAGTATAGCATTTTAATACTGATGCGAGACAAGGTAAAAAACTGGAAAAAATCGAACAATAAATGATTATTTTTTCAGATTCATTTGCTGAATTGTTGGCCGATTTTGACGAAAAATATCAGAGAAATTGCGTCGGATTTGCAGGCCAAAGCGGCGGAAATCAACGGAGTTGAGCAGACTCAGTGCTCCCAGAGGGCTGTAAGACAGGCCCAGGGGTCCCCGAGCAGCCCCGCGCGCTCGTTGTCGCAGTTAACCGGTGAACCGGCCGTTTTTGCCCATCTACATATGTGGTTCACTTGGCTTTTAACCGTCGAACCCTTTGTAGAAAAGCCGAGCAACGCCCCCGAAATCCCCATTAGTTGCGCCCCTGCAGCCCTGAGGGCTCTTTTCAAAGACATGGACCGCGAAATATTCCGCAAAGCCGTCTATTGCATCCTAACAGGGATTAAACTGGAAGTAGAAGAGGAAACTTTAAAGATTTTCCGACAACTTTTGCCCCAAAACTGGTTACGCCCGAAAAGTGGCGAAGTATGCAAATTGAGGAAAATTGACGACAAGTGGGGTGTGGAATGGCCGGGGTGTTTGCCCCCGAAATTACCCAAATTGCAGACTTTGATAGAAGAGGCGCTTCAGAACGAGGCTTTGATGGATCAAGCCCTGGAACCGTTCCTGATTGGGGCTATTTTACATTGGAGGAATGTAGCGAGGAGTCTGACGTGGGTCTCTGCCCCCAATCAGGACCTATTCCAAAGTCTGGGGGTACAGAATTTTGATTTGCCGCTTTTGGCCTATTGGACTGCTCAATGTAGGAACGAAAAAAACTAGGGCTTCCACAATGTGATAATATGTGATAGTTTGTTAAAAATATTTATATTTACCGAGTTTCAATTAACATTATTTAACTTTTTTCTTCAATTTTTGTTCATCAACTTCCAAGTCTCGTTTCTTCTTCTTCTTTTTCCTGACTTCAATCACTTCATTGTCTTCAACTTCTTCAACCACTTGCGCCTTTGAGAATTTCTTCTTTTGCGTAATTTCGCTTGTGTTTGTTTCAGAGACACTTTCTTCGTTTATATCTTCTTCATTTTTGATTTTAATAGGGGGCACCACAGAGAGACAAGTAAGCCGACATCCAGTTTCAGTCACAGCTAACTCGTCAAAATCCTTATTCCAAATTTTAATTTCCCCACTACTTGAAATCGTGACAATTCTCTTTTTATACAAAGCAATTCCCTTAATTCTACTATCGTGGGCTTTGAACACTTCAGTACTATTGTCTTCTAGATTCAAAACCGAAATTTCCCCATTTTCGTGCCCCACTAGCAAAATCGTATCACTCAACCAGGCACACCCTGTGACCTTTTCCCCGTGTTCAATTTGATTCAACACGCCCCCAGTCTCTATACTCCAAATCTCCGTAAACTTGCCCCCATATAACAAAAACCTGACCCCATCAGGGGCCCACACTATCCTCTCCAAACTTCTCGCATTTTTACATTTGTTGCTCAGGTTGATGACATAGGCCTGACGCCCCTTGACGAGATTCCAAGTGCACAAATGTGCATCCGCCCCCAAAGTCAACGCCAATTTCCCAGAACTGTGAACAGCAATGTCTAAAATCGCCGAACCCTTGTGTGCTTTCTCCCAAACTTTCTCCAATTGCCAATTCCCAACTCGCACAATGGCTAAGACTCCATCCGAACTGCCGCTTAACAAATGTGAGTGATTTTCGGTGAACTGGAGACAAGTTATTGTGGCATTGTGGTGGGTCAGGGCGCAATGTTGTTTTCGCGATTTCAAGTCGTAGATGAAAATACGGTCATCGGCGCCCCCTGAAGCCAAGTAAGGGCTTGAAAGGGCCACGCAACGGACACTTGCGGAGTGGTCGTGAGCGGCGAAGCTTTGCACAAGTTGGCCTTCCTAAAATTTGGGGTTTTGACCGAATTTTGCGAAAAAGTAAATAATACCTTTGGTGAGAAGTTGAAACCCAACAGGAACTCCTCGTAGCTGCCTGCTATTACCTCAAACGACGACGCTTTCATAATTTTTTGCACTAGTTCATCAACACGTCTCAAGTAACGTGACAATTTGAGGTTAGGTTGTAATAGAGATGGGCAAGAATCATCGATGTTATTAAAACATCGATTTTTTGCTTACAACATCGATGTCGAACATCGATAATTTGTCGATGACATAACATCGGTAACGTTTGGTTTCGATGTTTGGTTCATTTTTTTTTAATATTTAACTATGTATTTTCATAAATTATTTTTTATGTTCAATAAAGTTCGTTGCACTGACTGTGGTGCTGTTTTTTTACAATTGATATTAATAAAATGTTGGAATTTAGGGACCTGTAATAACAAATCTGTCAATTTTGACTATTTTCAAAAAAGCAAATCAAATTACATAAACATCGAAGATTACAACATCGATTAAAAGTCATCAAAAATCGATGTTGCAAACTTCGATGTTTTTCTTTCATTTTGCCCATCTTTAGCCCAACAAGAATGGCGCCAAATTTGAATTGATAAAATGACTAAAAAGTTATTCTCCTTAAAACTTTGAATGCAAATATCTCCAAAAATTAATCATTGCACGTAAAAATGAACTTGTGTCAAAAAAAATGTGCAATAAAATGTACTCTCAAATAGTTTAGTCAAATTTGATTTTGGCTTGACTTTATTACTCATATCTCAAAAACTACTCATCGTAGAGCATTTTAACCTGTTGCAATGTGTAATTCTATGTCTGGAATTCCATGTTTCAAGCGTTTTTACGTCAAAAAGTTCGATCATTTTCACGATACAAAACTCAAAAAAATCGTTTTGTTGTTTTAAGTCGACCCTGTAACATTTTTTATATCTTTGAGTATTTTACATCGTTTTTGCATTTTTTTTAATTCTCTTATTATTCGCATAAGTGTTGAATAGCTGACAAAAATAAAAACTAAACTGGCAATTCAGCCACGTAGTGGTTTTGTTCCCGTTTTATTATTTTAATAAAACCATCATTTATGCACTGCACACACTATTTATTACAAAACTTATGAGTACAGCAAGCAAAAAATGCCTATTTTTTGTATCCACATGAGCGCCTGCGGCCGCGAGCCCTCTCAAACTTCCTTCCCTTAGTTCTCACAAACGGCTTAGTGTGAGAATGTGGCACACCAGGAGCCGGTCCAAAGTGTTTAACAGCTTCACGTGCGTTGCGTCTGCCTTGTAAAAGCACAGTTTTGGCCCCAGTGGGCGCCCTCAGAGCCAATTGATCAAAAGTGATGACTTCACCACCTAAAACAAAACAATCAACACTCAAATCCACAAATTGGGGTAAGACACTAACCTGCTTTGAGAATCCTGGCTCTGGCAGTTCCAGTTACACGCAATGCACAAATTGATAGTTTGGGGACTTCCCAAATACGCGCGTCGTCTGTCACGGTTCCAACAATGACAGCAGTAAGACCTTCACGGCCTGGTTTCTTCATTGCCCTAACAACACGTGCGAGGGAAATTGGGGGTCTGTTGATTTTGCTCATGAACAGGCGTTTGAGGATGATTTTGTTGAATTTTGAGCCCGTACGGCGGGCCAAATAACGGTACAACTGAAAAAGGGTACAGCGATTAAGGGGGCTGTATAAAAAAAAAATTAATATAATTACCTTAACTAAAAGACGTAAATACACATCCTGACTTTTGGGTTCGGTGCGCCTAACCTTACGGTCGTGTTTATGGTTTATGTCGATACCCTGCAAATAATCAAATGATACAATTTAAAATGGATCCACAACAAACCCTTATGGAAAAATAATGAATTTATTCAACATTTTAATTCAGGATGATTGAAATATTTAAGAATTTTACGCAACTTACCATAGTTGTCGCGAATTGACAGAAAGAAAGAGGCACGCGACAGTGCTGCCACCTCACCGATTCTGTTGATAATTGCAGTAGACTGTTTTACCATCAATTTTAAATGTTTAAAATAACAAAAAAAATATTTCTTTTAAAAACAAAAATTTATTAAATCAATAGAGTAAAATAAATAACACGTAAAAAATTATTCAAACAATTTCTTCTCTGCTTTTTTATCTCTTTTACTGACATGAGGATTTCCCAAAATATAAAACCTCAACGGCATTCCCACCCATTCCTCTCCCGCAGACCCAATCCCAACCCTTGTGCTCCTCATAATCTGTTGTTCCTCCACTTCAAACCCATCATCTTCAAGCCACAACACTCCACTTTCAGTCAAATCGATTTTATTGCAATTATTTTTTGTCATATTGAAGGAAATACACAATTTGGACGGCCCATTACACAATTCCTTGTTTTTTAAAGAGCTTTTCAATGGATTTTTTTGCTTGTCTAGCAATTACACAACTGCAAACTTCCAATAATTTTTCAAAAAACTGACAAACCTGCTCGCAATTTAGCCATCACTTCCTGACCTTGAATCGGTTCAAGAGCCCTAATTAGGACAGCAGCACCTGGTTCAAGACTCGAAATATTAAAACAACAATACATTCCGTAAATAAAATAAACATAAGTGGTTCCCGCAGGCATGTACATTGGTTCATTTCCGGCTGTTTGCCTGCCGTTGTAAGAGTGTGAAGCCTTGTCTTCGCCCCCTAGGTAACACTCGTCTTCAACGATTCTACCCCTGAGAATTGAACCATCATCAAGTTTTCGGGCTAAAATTTTTCCTAAGAGGTAAATCGCCTGTTGCTTGCAAGGCAAGTTTAAATCAGCTTTTGTAAGCCTCCGGCCCACTTGAGACATCGGTTTTATGTTATATTAACAAGTTCACGATTTGTTTGTTTACTATTGAGGTTAGGGCAGGTTGACGTTTGAACTGTATTACCGGCAACTTCAAATAATTCCTTGAGATTGCAAATTTGTTGTAATTTAGACTCATAAAAAGTAGTGAGTTGAAACGAAGGAGAATTGGACTTAATTCCTCCAATTAGTGAATCATTTTATTTAAAAAACACAATTCAACAACGGTTTAAGTCAAACCCAAACTGTATTATCGGCAGGGTTAAAATATTCAAATGTTAAAATTGCTGATGCATTATTGTGTGTTAATTAAATAAATAAAAATTATATTTGTGATTTTGTGCTTTGTTTGTCTACTAACATACTCATTTGTTAATTATCACAGTGGTAAGCTTGTAGCCAATTTCTGTATTATCGGCCCCCCACTTCCCAAAATTTGGAACATTTAAAACATCCGAATCTCAACGGTCGCTAGATGCTTGTTTTTAATTTCCATTGGCGACCTGTCGTAAAAATCGTAAATTCTCGCCAAAGTGTTTGAAACGTCAAAAATTGATGAAAGTTTACGATTTTTTACACTTTCTCTTATACAGAATTGTGCAGATGTGATATTTTCGGTGTCTACAAATTGTTTAACGAGTGAAGTGTTGATTTGAAAAAAATGGGCAAACCCGAGTTTAAATCCCCTCGGCACAGGGGTGCTTCCACCAAGTCGCGTCTATTGGGCAAAAAGGGCCCCCCAGTGCGGTCTTCGGCCAACATCCGAGTCGTGGTTCGCGTCCGCCCCCCGAACGAAAAAGAGCAAGGCGATAATAGCAGGTAGGCAAAAACACGCAAGTCGACAAAAACTGACGCTTTTTGCAGGGACGTTGTGAGGATTGTAGACGACCAAGTGCTGATTTTCGACCCGAAGTGCCATTCCCAGGCGTTTTTCTACCATGGGGTGGAGCAAAAGGGGCGCGATTTGCTGCGGAAGGCCAACAAAGACATGCAATTTATGTTTGATAGGGTGTTTGGGTACGAGTCCACGAATCAAGAAGTGTTTGAGAGCACCACCAAGAGTCTTATTGAGAGTCTCATGGACGGGTACAACTGCTCGGTTTTTGCCTACGGGGCCACGGGGGCCGGCAAGACTCACACAATGATTGGACAGACTGACAATCCCGGAATCACTTACCTAACAATGGCTGAGCTGTTTAAAGCCAAACAGAATTTGCAGGAAGAACGCAAATTTGAATTGGGGATTTCGTACATCGAGGTTTACAACGAAATGGTTCAGGATTTGCTAAATCCGGGAGCCCCGTTGCAACTACGGGATGATGGCCGGTATGGGGTCATGGTGGCTGGGATTAAAGTCCACAAAATCGATAATCCGGACGAACTTTTCACGCTATTAGCAAAAGGGAATAGTAATCGAACCCAACACCCCACCGACGCCAACGCTGAGAGTTCCCGGTCGCATGCTGTCTTCCAAGTCTACATCCAGATGGAGATGAAAGCCACTCGCGAAGTCCGGGCTGCCAAACTCAGCATGATTGATCTAGCCGGCAGTGAACGGGGCTCCGCTACCGGATATGGGGGCGCAAGGTTCGCCGAAGGCGCCAATATAAACAAATCACTCCTTGCACTTGGAAATTGTATTAATAGTCTTGCCGATGGCCAAAGATACATCCCTTACAGAGACTCCAAATTGACGAGACTACTTAAAGACAGTCTAGGGGGCAATTGTCAGACCGTCATGGTGGCTAATGTGTCTCCATCCTCGCTGTCTTACGATGATACTTACAATACGTTAAAGTATGCGACTAGGGCCAAGAAAATCAAATCAGAAGTTAAGAAAAATGTTGTCAATATGGAGTTGCACGTGGGAGAGTATGTAAAAATTGTTGAAGATTTGAAAAAGGAGTTGGAGAGAGTCAAAGCACAGCTCAGGGAGAAAGTCAGCGAGAAGAAAGTTGACGGGAAAGTGGCTCTAGAGTTTGGGAAGTTGATCGAAAGTAGGAAGAAGTTGCTGGATAGGATGTTCCATGTTGAGTGTTCGGAGACCACGACGGTTTTGAGAAGGTTATTTATTTTTCTTGCATAAGTCACCCCTTTTAATAAATTCATTAGAGTAATTTTATGGCAAAACGATCATGTCTGAATCTTGATACCTTAAATTTTTGTAAAATTGAGAACATAAAAATAATTTGTTTAGCCAGTAAAAATAATAGTGAATTTCGAAGAAAAAAAAAATAACAAATAAACTTAAAAATTATTATTGACAACTTGAACTACATTTTTACAAATTTCAAAAAATTCTTATAAAAATATCACTACAGAGTTTTCTCATATCTGAAACCTATCACAGAAAATAACTCCCAACAAGCAAACGAAAAGTAAATATTAATTTCCATTTTGCAACAAATAATTGTACTTATTTTGCACTCTTCTTTTCATAATAAAATAAGTAAATATTTTTTAATTCAAAACAAAGATATTAGAATTTTATATACTCTATTAGGATTAAAAGTGACTAAACATGCTATTTTTTCTCCAGTCAACAATAACATGCGCAAAATTATTTGATCAAAAATGAAAAAAGAAAAATTATTTTATTTTTAAAGCTAGTATTAACAATGAAGTTGAAAATTATCCTAGACTTAAAAATTGCAATGGTAACATTTTTTTTTCTAATTATAAAAAAATGACGTGTTAATCCGGCTAGAGAAAAAATATGTTTTAAATA